CAGCCAGAGGGGAATAACCACATCCCTCCAGCAGGTTTCTGGCTGCTTACTAATGCAGTCCCATGGCTGTTTATCTTTCTTACTGCAGGAGGCATTGCTGACACGTCCAACTTGTTTTCCACCAGAACCCCAAGGCTTCTTCTGCAGGGCTGCACCCTAGCAGTCAATCTCTGTTCTACACTAATGCATGGAGTTGATTGAAAATATAAAGAAGTTTTATTATTTCATAGAATTAAAACAAATGTATGATGTGAATAAGGCCAAATTTATCACGTGATTAAAAAGAGTCAAACTCCAAGTCCTCCTGTGCTTGGTCTGTCTGCTAATATGAGTAAGGAGCAATGGTGGCACATGGGAGCCCAGTTTCATACCTGAGAAATCTCAGTTTTCTGGAAAACGTTTTTACAGCTGTACAAGGTCTGATGTTGGTCACAGACATAAGCAAAGGGGCTGCAACTCTCAGCACAATTTATCCTTTTCCTATAAAAGGCTGTGCAGGCTTGAAAGAGAATCTTGTAGGCCACTGGAATGATTCCCACTTCCATCCATTCCCCCAGGACCTCAAAGGAGGAGCAGGCACCATGCCTAGAAGGGATGAGCTCTGTGTGTTCATGGTGTGTTTTTCAATCAGTATTTGAATCCTTCTTCTGACTTCACAGACAGGCAAACGAGTAAGTTATTCTTGGTATACACTGAGGTACGACACAGCTCCTGTTATCTTAATGAACGTATTTATTTATTATTAATTATTATTTATTATCTCTAAATTAAAGAGTCTGTCCTTTTTTATTTTTTAAGTATATCTCACACTACCTCTGGTTCAATCAAAGCAAAAATAGTATATTTCTTGTTCTTATTTCAATTTTCTTGCAGCTTTCTGCAAGGGCTGCAAGAGTTTTTTTTAGGGGAATATTTTATTTCCCCTTTCGTATTTTCCAGAAACTGTCTACTGCTCTTCAGAATGCTAATAGGCACCTGCATATCTTACAAATTCAGTGGCAAGAACTAAGCAGATAGATACAGAACTCCAAAATCTCAAGTTTCCCACTGGAACTGCTTGGCACAGACCTGTGTTCAAGTTCTTGCCAGTCTCTGGAGTCTCAATGCCTCTCTCCTGTCTTCTCAGTCTCTCTATGGAGACACTTAGCTGAACAGTGAGCAGTTTTTGAAGAGCAGATGATGTGGATGTTTGCTGTTGTTTTCACAATTATAGCTAAGTTAAAGGCATGGAGTGTTTTTATTGTTGTTGGGATTTGGCTGTTTTTCCATCCATCAGCCTAAAAGCAGTTTAAGCCTTTGTCTGAGCATTGTTCAAACCATCAGATTGGGCCTGCCATCACTTTGCCCCTGGGCAGAGATGGCAAGTAGCATAGATTTAGACTTACTCTTTAACCTTCACCCTGTTCCTTCTGCGTCTCTCCCAGAGCTGTCTCCAGTGAGCAAGGTGACATGTTCTGTAGTCACAAAAAGAAGCCAGTGATGCTAATATATGTTCTAAACACATAACAGGGTGCTTTAATGAAATATTCCTGTAGAGAGGTGATCACACAAAATGGCACTTCCTACTGCTGGCCAGCATGCCAAGAAAAAGCCAGTGCTGGTTCGTGCGTAGCGCACGTGCATCTGGTCATTCCAGTGCCTCTCCCTTCCTCATATACTGGGACAAGCAAAGGACTCTGAGGGCTCTATAGATCTCATGGCAACTACAAAGCACATCTAGAAGCTTCTGAGAGTGCAAACAAATTTTCAGACAAAGGTTTTTCTTTCAGCTTCATAAATATGTTTGCAGCTATCATCATATAAAGAAAAAATAGCTTTCCAAACCTGCACAGCAACACTGCTGTGCAGGAGGTGTCTCTCATTGTTTCAGTTTTTCTTCCTTTATGGATAAATAAGAGTATTGAGAACAGGTTTGTGCTTAACAAAAGGGTAAACCCTGCTAATCTACTGATCTGCTAGTATTGTGCTTATCACAGCACTGTTTTTTGGCTGGGGCAGACGTGGTCCTAATGTGCGCAGCTGTGCAATGAAAACTCTATCGTCATGTGCAAGTGTGGGCAGGACCTGCCAGTTTGAGGGGGTTGGACACAATGGCAGTTCAAGTCATGGACTGCTGTGTTTGTGAAAGAGCTGTCCATATCCATCTCTGACAACAGAAAATGCCATGGTGAAGAACACGCAAGCTAGAGCCAGTGATGGCAGGTAGCCATGGAGCAAGGATAAAGCAACAATAAAATTCTTTTTGTCAGTTTGACAGGCAGTGATGGCAGATCACCATCTGATGGGGCATTAGCGGGCAAAACATCAGAGCTGTGACTGGCACAAAGGACCCTGAATGCAAACAGCAGGATGACCAGTCAGGAGGCACATGGGTTACAGCCAGCAGTGATGACAGGGTATAAAACACAAGAGGATAATGAAAGAAATCCGGAACACAAGGTACCAGAACAACTGATGCAGATGAACACACAAGAGAATGGAATGACATGGAAGGAAGAGGCATTGAGGGGATGTGAACAGCAGGCCATAGAGTGCTGTGTGTACACTGGAGGAGGCAGGAATCTTGGCAGGGTGAGCTGCTGGTGCATGAGGATGGCACTTGTGCCTGAATCATAGAATCACAGAATAATTTTGTTTGGAAGGGACCTTCAAAGCTCATCCAGTCCAACCCCCCTGCAATGAGCAGGGACATCTGCAACTGGATCAGGTTGCTCAGAACCACATCCAGCCTGGCCTTGAATGTCATCCACCAGCTCTCTGTGCAACCTATTCCAGTGTTTCACCATCCTCATTGAAGACAAACATGAGACTGAGGAGAACGGCCAGAGGCACATACTGTCACCTGGAGAGCCTAGCTGCACATGAACACCTGGCAAAGGCCAGCCCCTGCAGACAGCAAGCATCCAGTCATTGTAAGATGAAAAATCTGAAGCCGTTAATGTGTTCCACAGTAGTTTTGCTTTTCAGAAAAAGTCATTTTTTTCACTTAGTGATGAGCAGCTCAGTAGAGCCCCATGCTGAGCAATGCAGCCAGAGCATGCACTCCCCTTGTTGCTTGAGGGAGGCCCCGGCACAGCAGGGAGGGCTCCCAGGCACAGGGCCTCGCAGGGGTGCTTGAGGGTTAGAGCCCAAACCCTGGCTGGTGTCTCAGAGGGGAGAAGCCTGGAGCTGACAGAGAGCTTACCAGAACAGGGCCTCCCCCGGTGGGCTCCTGGGACTCTGCCCTCTACTCTGCTCTCGTAAGACCCTACTTGCAGCACTCTGTGCAGTTCTGGTGTCTCCAATGTAACAAGGACATGGAGCTGCTGGAGCAAGTCCAGAGGAGGCCACAGGGATGATCACAGACTGAAGCAAGTCTCACATGAAGACAGGGTGAGAACGTTGGGGCTGTTCAGTCTGGAGGAGAGAAGCTGCATGGAGACATCGGAGCAGCTTCCAGTGTCTGAAGGGAGCTACAAGGATGCTGGAGAGGGACTCTTCATCAGGGACTGGAGTGATAAGACAAGGGGTGATGGGTTCAGACTGAAGCAGGGTAAGTTCAGGTTAGGTATTAGGCAGCTCTTCCCTGTGAGGGTGCTGAGGCACTGGCACAGGGTGCCCAGAGAAGCTGTGGCTGCCCCATCGCTGGCAGTGCTCAACGCCAGGTTTGACGGGGCTTGGAGCAAGCTGCTCTAGTGGAAGGGCTGGAACTGTATGAGCTTTAATGTCCCTTCCAACACAAACCGTTCTGTGATTCTATGACGGGGGAGGGCTCGGCCATGGCCCCGCGGTGCCCTCCGCTCCTCCAGGCCTCCCATCCCCGTCCCGCGCCATGTCGCGGACCTCGCCCGCAGCCGGCCCCACCACAGCACTGCAGCGCCCCCTGCCGGCGCATCCTGCGCAGGGCTTCCGCTGGCTGCGGGTGGCCCCGGCCCGAGCGCTGCAGGACTCGAGCGCCAGGCGCGGCCAAGGCCGCTGGGGGAGTGCGGGGCTGAACGGGTTCACCCCCTCCCCGCATGGAGCAGAGCCCCTCCACACCCCCCCTGCACGGGGCGGATTCCTCCCCATATTCCCCCCGTCCCGCAGGGAGCAGATCCCCGCGCACACTCCGGAGCGGATGCCCTCTTCCCGCCCTTGCAGCACACACGCAGGCGGTGTGGGCTGCGCATCCCCAGCCGTTCCTTCCGCTCGTGGCAGAGCCCTCCACACATGGGCTGTCTGGAGGAGACACTCTCTCCGTGGATGCAAAGGCGGAAGAACCGGGCAGTTCAAGTCACAGGTATTGTGGAGAGATCTGTTCTGTAGTTTCCTGATTTAACTCTTTGCTTCTCTCAGGCATGAAAGTTGAAACTGTGGAGAATAACTGAGCAGTGTGTTCCCATTGCCCTGGGAATGCTTCCTGCTAGGACATACCTTGGACTTTGGTAACCACTGCCGTACCTGCTACTTCCGTTCACAAACACTGTCAATCTCACGATAAATTGAGGCATCACCTAGGTTTCTTTTTATTTTCTACACCTATTTAGGGTTGGTTAAATATGACCAGGCAAATGGTTATTATTATTACGTATAACTATTATAACATAATACCTGTATTATAACCATGAAACTAACACCTAATGAATTACATGAAGCAAATAATATCTCTTCTTAGATCCACAGAAGTCAGCACAGAGCCTGCTGCAGCTCTGGTCAGGGATATCATTTCTCTGATTTCTAAAAGAAAAAAAAAGAAAAAGGAAGATAATATAGAGATTATTTGAGCAATTGGATCATTGGTTGGGTTGCATCAGTTGCATCTTAGCCTGTGGCTATTGCAAATGTTCTGCTGTATTACTGGCAAAGAACCAGTATCTCTTAATTGTGCTGAAAAGACCTGGACTCTTAGAGTTGATCATATGTGGTCAGTCTTTCGGGAGGCACCAAAGGGACTGTCAAACCACACTGGTTTTGAATAAGAGCCCATTTCTGGCTTTCTTTTAAGAGGAAACTAGTGCAAGAGTGGAAGGAGTAGAGCTGTGCCTGGAGGTGTTTGGTCAGAGATCTTTGCGGCCCTCCTCTGCAGCCCTCCAACTCACCTGTCCTTCACGATTTTTGGCTCGTAACTTGTTAACCTGACATTCAGCAATATCAGCTCGTTCTTCAGCCCCTTCCAGCTCGTGCTGGGTCTTGCGATATCGTGAGAGAACAGCATTTGCCTGTTCTTCCTGGAAGTCATGCAGCGCCATCAGTGACATGGACACAAAGTGACATTGCTCTGTTATCATTAACTGAACACCTTATGGCTGCACCCCAATAACATCCCCTACTTCAAAAGTACATCCTTGCCCTGCCAGCACTCCGTGAATTTCTATCTAGTGCTGTCAACAGCATGAGCACTCAGCTGGGGTCAGAACATTTAGTCCTGATCAGTTCCAGGTGGGAAAGTTGGCTAGTGTGGCTCCAAAAGTGCAACAACTCCAGGGTAATTACAGCTGTGCCTGTTCAGTTGTGAGCCCTAAGTTTTTATGAGGTGAGGAATATCCTAAGGCAGTGGCCATTGCCACCGTGTCAACTGAGTAGTCAGTTATTTGAATGAATTGGGAGCCCAGGCCTTTTGGAAATCTCCACCCAGAGCCCACAAAGATTTAGGAAGAGTCTGGCACTCACAGCTTCCTCAGCCTGTTTCTTGTATGCTTTCACTTTTAACTGCAGCTTGTCCACCAGGTCCTGGAGCCGGAGAATATTTTTCTTATCCTCCTCAGACTGTGGGAAGTGAAAATCACATTGGCTTCAGATCACAGAAGTGATGCACATAAGGGGGCAGAGGATTTGAATTACCTGGTAAGTGAGCTCCTTCAGCCTTCGTTCATATTTGTGAGCACTTTTCAGGGACTCAGTTCCTCGTTTCTGCTCAGCATCAAGCTCGTTTTCTAACTCACTGACCTGAAACACAGTACCATGGTGAAGACAGCAAGCTGCCAGGAATGGTTGCTGATCCTGCTGTAGGAACCTGGGAAACAAGGTTCTGTGGACTATGTAGAGAAAGTGCCAATGCAGGGCAGTTTCCTGGAGCTGGTCCTTGGGGCCAGACTAGCTAAAAACTGCTCACCATTCTGTATTAGTAGTGACATAGAGTGTGAATCCATAGTTATTTATAGAAGGAACTTTGCTGTGCATACCTTTGACATTTATAATCAAAGTTCACTTGAATCTGCCAGAAAAGAGGAAACTGAAACAGGGAAGTGTCAATGTTCACCAGGTAAATGGGGAAAATCTATTTAATTTTAATCTTTTCAGTCCAGCTTATCCTCATGAATAGTCCTTAACAAGCTCCCACAGCTCCGTGCCTCTTCTGTAGTGTATGAGTCAAATGTGGACATCAAAGTTTTTACTTCTGTGTGGATACTTCCTTTCAAAGCCAAGAGTGCCTAATTCCCAGTCTGTTGTACTATATTTTGGAGCAGTTAAGAAGGGCAACAGGCAGGTCAGGCAAATGGTCTATCTAGCCCAATGCTCTGCCTCTGAGAGTGGCAGCAGGGGGACTATTGAGGGACAGCCTGAAAACCTGACTGCTATCTACTCCCCTCACACTTCCACAGCTTCCACAGTCGTTAGATTGGTATTGTAAAGTGGCATCTCTATGCCTGTTCTCTTAAGTATGTCTATAAACCTGCTGATTTCTAATCCCGTTTTGAACCTTCTGCCCACTCTCTCTACAGCCTCCCATGCAGCAGGTTCCAGAATTTTGCTGCCCATTCTGTAAAGTACTTCCTTTTATTTATTTTAAATTGATCTCCAGGTGAAGATGTCCTGATCTGCATCATGTGTCCTTACTTCTGATATTGCATGTTTTGGTGAAAACCATTCAGAATACATCTTGGTCCCTGCTGACAGGATTCTGTAAACTCTCATAGCATCCCCCCTCAGCCATCTCCTCTCCAAACAGAAGAGTTCTAGCCTTGTTTGTCTCTCGTCATAAGGCTCAACCCACTCAGCTGCCATTCCCTGGATGCTTCTCTGTCAGGTCCTTGAGTAGCAGAGAACAGGACTGCACATTATGTATTTAATATAGTGGCAAGTGATGCTCTCTGTCTTGTTCTCTGCCTTTCCTATTGAAGCCAATTTTATTTTCTCTTTTCTGGTTTTGTCTCTACTGCACATTGAACAAAAAGTTTGAGGCCTGTCACGGATAAGACTGAGATCTCCTGGCTGAGCTGCAATTGCCAGATCCAAGTTTATCCACAGGTTAAGCATGTTTTAAGTTATTTTCCCTATATGCCTGTCCTGATGTTCATCTGCCATATTTGACCACTCAGTTTTTATGAAGTCGTTCTTAAGTTGCTCACCCACTGTGCAGTGTTTGACTGCTCAAAGTAACTCTAATCAAATCTGCTTGGAGGTACCTGGGCCCTTTCCTGTTGTAACCTTTCTAAGAAGTTCAAACAACCAAGGGCTCACTCAGGAAATTGACCTTAGTCTACCCTACTCTTCACCGTACCCTCGCCTCTAGTTTCTGGAGTTGCTTCTTTCCACCCTTCAGTGCCAACTGCTCAGCCTCATCCAGACGGTGCTGCAGGTCCTTCACTGCCTGGTCCAGGTTCTTCTTCATCCTCTCCAGGTGGGCGCTGGTGTCCTGCTCCTTCTTCAGCTCTTCTGCCATCATGGCCGCCTGAGGAGAGCAAAGGGTCAAAGCCATTTTGGGGCTGGAGACGGGGAGAATCCATCTATCATCAGTAATGAAAAGAACCCCCAACTCACATCTGTGATGGCCTTCTTGGCCTTCTCTTCAGCATTGTGGGCCTCCTGGACAGTATCCTCCATCTCACCCTGAATTTGGGCAATGTCTGCTTCCAGCTTCTTCTTGGTGTTGATCAAGCTGGTGTTCTGTTGAAGAGCATCAACATGACCATTTTCTTTTTGTTACCTTGTGATATTATATCAAGAATATTGCATAAATATTTTTTTTGTAATGTAAATTGCCCCATCAGGTCACATGTTATTCTGTTCTAAAGGATCTGCTGTGGCAGCTGTTAGTTTCTCAGCTGTGATGTGCTTCCTTATTTCAAGAACATCCTCCATAAAGTCTTTCCTCAAAATTTTTCAGTCAATAGAGAAGGAATTTAGACTTATAAAGATAAAAGATGTAATATTTCTTTACAGTTTTCAATCTTGTGGCAGTAAAAGTTTTAAATGGTGATACACAATGCTTATAATGACATTGTTAAATGATGTCAGTAACTGTATTAGTGTATTCCTGTTCTGTTAATGATCAACCTAACTTTGACTTTACAGTCTCAAAAGTAAACCTGAAACCTGTTAAACTCAATTGAGTTGTAAGGTAAGAACCTCACATATCTCTCTAAAATTTACTACTTTTAAGGTATCTGCACTGTAGTCTAGTGAAATTTGTATCTGCACCTGAAGAAAAATCACACTTAATATTTGTTATCCACAAAATAGTGTGAAAATTGCAGTGTATTTTACTAGTGTTATAGTTCAGTCAGTCTTCAGTTATCTGTATGGAGAAAAGGTATAGATACTAAATATATTTCTACACTGACCTGGGTATGGAGGAGCTGAACTCTCTCACTTGCATCCATCAGTTCCTGCTCAGCCACTTTTCTTGTCCGCTCTGTCTGTGCCAGAGCTGCCCGTAGCTCCTCAACTTCAGCCTGCAACAGGTTTGCTCTGCGTTCCACCATGGCCACCTGCTCCTTCAGGTCCTCCTGTGCCCTGAGAGCATCATCCAGTTGAAGCTGGGTATCCTGGAAAGGAAGACAAGAAGGACTGTGAAGTACATTTTCCTCTTTTTCCTTTTCCTGTTTTCACTTCATTATAGATCTGATAGAATTGTACAACAGGGAAATGTTTATATTATTCATTAACCAGTGAGTACCAGTTTTGTTGTACCATACCTTGAGGACTCCCTGTGTGTTTCTCAGGTTCTTTTGTGCCTCGGCAGCCTGGCGATTGGCATGGCTGAGCTGGATCTCCATTTCATTCAGATCTCCCTCCATCTTCTTCTTCAGACGCAGGGCTTCATTCCTGCTCCTGATCTCAGCATCCAGGCTGCTCTGCATGGACTCTACAACTTTGAGGTGGTTTCTTTTCATCTGTTCAATCTCCTCATCTTTCCCTGCTATTTTCCTGTCAATCTCAGACTTGACCTGGTTGAGCTCAAGTTGGAGGCGCAGGATCTTCCCCTCTTCATGTTCCAGGGAAGCCTGAAAAAAAAGAAGTTAATATTGGTTAATTGTGTAAATACCACTGTCAGTCACTTTACATGAACTATTCTCTTGAAGAATAATGTATAGCATGAGGTCTGAGACTGCAGGAAAGATTTCTGTGTACCCAAAGATTTAATGATGTCCAAAATTTCCTCTTTCCTGTACATGGTATATGCTCTGTGCATATCATTTCATAAATCATATCTGAGGTTGCTAAACTGTGAGTGCTAAATGATAAGTGAACAATTAAGAACAGAAGGCTGTACCTCAGCTTCCTCCAGTGAGGCTTGGAGCTCAGATTTCTCCTGCTCAATCTGCTTCTTGATTTTCTCCAGCTCATGAATCGCTTTTCCTCCCTCGGCAATCTGCTCCGTGAGGTCAGAAATCTCCTCTGTGGGAACAAGGACCAATGGCATGGTCGGGCACAGAGCAGAATGGGAAGGGCCCTCACACACCAACGTGACAGGCACCTTTCCCCACGTGCAGGCACAGACCCATGTGAAGCGGTGGGTACTGGTGGGTGCTGAGAAAGCCCTGCCAGGAGCAGAGGGCCAGGCACTTACGCTGCAAGTTCTTGTTCTCGCGCTTCAGCGTTTCCAGGTGGTCCAAGGACTCCTCATAGGCATTCTTCATCTTAAACAGCTCCGTGCTGAGAGAGCGGGCCTCCTTCTGGGAGGCTTCCAGCTCAGCCTGTGTTTCCTCATACTTCTGCTTCCATTCTGCCAGGATCTGAAGAGAAATGGGGGTGTCAGTGTGGATGTGACAATCAGGACAGGATGCTCCGTCCATGATTCCCCAGTCTGGAGCCTGAAAGACCTTGTCAAAGTTCTTCTGCTTCTTATCCAGAGCTGCACAGGCAGCATTTGATCTCTCCACATCAATCATCAGGTCCTCCACTTCATTCTGCAGCCTCTGCTTTGTCTTTTCCAGGGAGGCACATTTGGCATTGACAGCTTCAACATGTTCCTCTGCATCCTGCAGGCGCTGTGCCAGCTTCTTCCTGGAAGATGGTAAGCACAGGTGCAGGTGAGGAAGCAAACGGGAGCCAGTGTTGTGCAGCCTGTATGTTTTTTGCAGGAGCACTTGCACCCAATTGGCTGTGTGTGATCCCCATTTATACAGAGGTGTAGGACCTCTTCCAGCCAGCCACTGTATTTCTATGTCTGAATCCTGGGCTGCAGGAATTCATGCTCTAATGTTCACACTGTTACTCTCATCAGCATGTCTCTGCAATTCTTCATCTGAACATCTTTGCTGTGTCTGCTTTCCACCGTGCATACCTGCTCTTAGTTATATTTTGTCTCTTCCTGCCAACCCCTCCTAAAGCAGAGCATTGACTTCTTCCTGACAATATCACAGTGGTCTCCTTAAATTTCCATTCTCAGTGTCAGCCCTGCCCAACTTCCCCACATACTTGGCCTCCTCCATCTCCTCCATGCGCTGAATAGCGTCTGTCTCATATTTGGTTCTCCACTGGGCCACTTCGCTGTTGGTCTTGGACAGGGTGCGCTGCAGCTCCCCTTTGGCTTCCTGCTCCTCCTCATATTGTTCCCGGAGCAAGTCACAGTCGTGGCGAGCAGCCTGCAAGGCGTGGGCCAGTGCGTTCTTGGCCTGTAGGGAAGAATTTTAGTATGGCAATGAATGGAAGTATCCTGGTAAATCTCCTGCCTGAAGTATTCATTGGCACTGGATTGTTCTACTGTGGGAATGATGGCAAGCTACTGAAGGAGAAAGGAAGATCTGGGAATCTGCAGAAGACTTAATGACTAGGCAGTAGAGAAGGAAGAGCAAAGCTAGTATGAGAACAGCTGACTGCATTATCCAAGTGTTTTTTTTCTCCCTCCTGTTCATTCTGTAATTTCATATGTATCTGAAGCCCCTCCTGGACAGGAGAAATCCAATGGAGAAGACTGTGAAGCTTTCTCACCTTGATCTCTTCCTCTAGGTGCCTCTTGAGCTCCTCAATCTGTTGGGTGAAAGCCTGCTTGCCTCTTGACAGCTGAGAAATCTGAGCATCTTTCTCCTCCACCTGGCGTGAGTATTCCCCTGAGGGAAGTCAGATGAGTAAAGGAGCTTTTTTATGACTTACTGAAAAGTGTCAACCTTGATAATTAAATGCATATAAAAATATTTGGAGTTTAACAACATTTTATTTCTTCCATGGAATTCTAATTGCTTATACCTGTCCATAGCTCTGAGAATGCTGAAGTATTTATCTTGGAGGCAAGAAATGAGATACATCATGCCCTTTTTCCAATATCTGACTAGTCTTAATGTATATTTGCACTAAGTCCCATGGTCCCTTCAAGCCTCAAGCTTTCAGAATTAGTACTATACTGTGTATGTTCTCAGGTATATCACTGTCCTGTCCTGAATGTCTCTGGGAAGAAGGATGAAGTCTAGGTTATGAAGTAGATGAATTCTTCTTTGAAACTCCAGTCATAGAATTATAGAACAGTCCCATTTGGAAGAGACCTTTCATGGGAAAGAGCACCTAGATATGGTTATGTGTCACCCTCTCCAGTCAGGTCTTGGACACCTCCAGTGATCAGACTCTCCCACACCCCTGTGAAGGTTGTTCCATCCACTGTTTGTTCCAGTCCATGTTACTGGTCCTGCTTCAGGATGCCTGTATCTCTCTGGTATGGGTAGCCTAGCACAGGACACAGCACCCCACGTGGGCCTTCAACTGTGCCGAGCAGGGATAAGGATCACCCCTTTTAACCTTCTGGCAACACTTTTGCATTTTGAGATTCTGTTGGCTGCATTTGTCACAAGAGCACATTTCTGGTTAATGTTCAGCTGTGGTTCCAGCAAGACTCCATGATTCTTCTTCCCCTCTCTTTTTTAAAGCCTCATGTCATGTCATTTGATGTCTTTTTTAAAGCCTCATTTTCTCTTAAACTCTGTCCACAAATGTCTTACCAGATTCTGTTTGTAGCCGAGCTCTCTGAGCACTAATGTCATTAATTGTGCGCTGTTGTTCCTCCTCCTTTGTCTTAATCTCACTGAGCTGATCTTCTAGGGCACGACATATCTTCTCCAGATTTGCCTGTTTTCATGAAAAACAGAGTGAAAGATGATTGGTGGTTCAACACATAATAGGCTCAAACTGAAACAGGGGAAGTTCAGGTTAGATATAAGGCAGAAGTTCATTACTGTGAGGGTGATGAGGCATTGGAATGGGTTGCTCAAGGAAGTTGTGAATGCTTCATCCCTGGCAATGTTCAAGGCCAGGTTGGACAGCCCCTTGGGTGATATGGTGAAGTGTGAAGTGTCCCTGCCCATGACAGATGAGTTGGAACTAGAAGATCATAAGGTCCTTTCCAATCCAAACCTTTCTGTGTTTCTATGCAATATCTAGAGGATATTTGTGTACCTTGGCTTTGGAGACGGACTCCATGTTACTGGCCAGGTCGTCGATCTCCATCTTCAGCTCGCTCTTCTCCTTCTCCAGCTTCTGCTTCACTCGCTGCAGGTTGTCGATCTGCTCCCCAAGCTCAGCGGTGCTGTCCGCGTGCTTCTTGCGCAGGGCAGCAGCCGTGGCTTCGTGCTGCAGCGTGGCCTCTTCGAGGTCACGACGCATCTTCTGGAACTCGGCCTCACGCTTCTTGTTCATCTCGATCTGAGCTGCTGTAGCCCCTCCTGCTTCTTCCAGGCGCTCGCTGATCTCCTCCAGCTCCCTCGAGAGGTCAGACCGATGCTTCTCTGCTTTTGTCCGAGAGGTTCGCTCTGCCTCAATTTCCTCCTCCAGTTCCTCTGTTCGAACCTGTGAAACTTAATCGGTTAAATGAAGGCTTTTCGATGGACAGATGTGAAATTACCTTTAAGGAAGAAGGAGTGAACATTCACATCCAGTTATATCAGCATAATGAGAGAAGCACCACTAGAAATTTCACTGAATTATATTCTAGGACATGTAATATTTGGTTTTAGAACAACAGTGAATGCAATATCTGATATTTCATGTTATGTTATAGCTCGGAATGGATTCATTATGTTAAGAAAGATCTAGTATTGAACTTTTCTGAAGAAATGGGGGATGTGTCACTGGAAAATGTAAAGGAAATCAAGTTTGTTAGAGATTTCCCAAAGGTCAAGCCAAAACAAAACAGTGTTTTCTTGCTATCAGCAAAGAAGATGGAAGGAGCCTTGAGATGACCAACCATAGGATAATAGCACTGAAAAGAATTTTCTTCCTGGCTCTGCATTTAAAATGTGATGTCTGTCCTGATCATGATAGGTTATGTCACATTCAGTTTTTTTTAATTATAAAAGTAATTCTCAGTGGCTTCACTACTGTTATAACTCAGTATCTGATCCATTTTCAAAGCCTGCCACAAGCTTTACTTAAGATGTTTCTTATGTAGTTATGTATGATTAGAAGCCAGAGTTCCTGTAGAATTGCCCTGAGATGGGAACAACACCTAGAGTCCATGTTAACTGCTTTATTCATGTGTAGGAAAATATTTTTGTAGAACAGCCTAAGAATAAACATCAATTAATTCTAAGGAAAATGTGCTTAGCTACCAAAAAATCAAGAACTCTCGTACTCTACCTGAAGCTCCTTAATTTTCTTTTGCAGCTGAGAACTATGAGCCTGCTCATCTTTTATATTACCTTGCAACTGTCTGATTTCAAAATCCTTCCTGTTAAAGAACAAGAATGCAAATTCAATATGGTTAAGATTAAATATGAATTTTAGAATTCAGAGCATAAAAATCCAGTGCTATACTTTTTTAGTCTGTCATCCATCTGTTGCTTATCATTTTCTAGATCCATGATGGAATCCTGAGACATTTTCAGATCTCCCTCTAGTTTCCTTTTTGCTCTCTCAAGGTCCATTCGCAGTTTCTTCTCTTCTTCCAGAGAACTTTCAAGCTAAAACACATAAAACACTGTGAAACACATAATTCTACTTTGCAAATAACTATTATTGATTAAAAATTGATGAATAGTGGAAACAGATCCTGTGTAAACTTCTCATCTCTACCTGTGTTACACTCTCGCTGCAAGATTAAAGCTGCCATTGTGATTTGATTTTGGACATTAAGCTGTCCACAGCTTGGCTGTGCACAGTTGAAATGCAAGTTTCTGAAAAATACAGAAATTTAAGTTTTTCCAGTGGCTGCAGTCCCTAAAATATAGACAAATTTCCAGTGTCCATAACTTCCTGGAGTATATCCACACTGCACAGTAAGAGACCACAAATAACTCTGCATCAAACTTCAGATTGCTACAGATGTAGTGGTCCAACTAAATTGATTAAAAGAGGCACGAAAGTCTACAATACTGAAATATCCAGTGATGAACTTAGTTTACATGTCCAGGGAAAAGTAGATGTCCCAGATTCCACAATACTCTGTCAACTGGCAGTGGGTTATTAGCTGGAAGTATTAGGGTTGGCTTGGCTGCTTTAGGTGTTACTTATACTCCCAGCTACAGTTTTCTAGACTCTTCTAATCTGTCAGTACATTCACCTACACAACCCCAAAACTTTTCCTTACATCATCTACTTGTTGCTCCAGTTTGGTCTTGGTTTTGTTGAGTGCCGTGACTTTGTCTTCCTCAACTTGCAAGTCATCCAGTGTCTGACTGTGGGCTTCCTGGAGGGCCTTTTTCTCCTTAGTGAGTTTAGAAATATTTTCATCCAGAGCTGCCATTTCTTCAGTAAGATTCTTAACCTGTTAGACATCCATACTATGAGGGGGTGCCTTGAGACATGACAGACCAAGAGCACAGAGACTACATCCTTGCAAAATCTTTCATGGATGTAGTCAAAATGCTCTCAACAGAAGGTCTCTTATCATTCATGGTGAGCGTAGCAACAAGTGTCATGCTTAACAGTCACACCTCTCTGGTCCTGCAGTGTAGGAATTCTTGCTTTAATTATTTTTGACTACCAGCTCTATCCTGCTGAATTCTATAGTGCAACATATGCTAGATATTCACCTGCCTCTGCAAGCTTTTCCCGCTGGGATTTACAAAAGGCCTCTGAGTTGCTCTTGCTGAAAATATGTATTTTCTGGATGTGATGTATTTGCCAGGTAAACAGCTGTAAATTCTCAGTAGGTGAGGTTCTTTATAAAGATATTATCATGTGCTAAGCATAACCAAAGATAAGAAATACATTAAGTTTTCCATAAAAGTGAAACAAACAGGACAAAGATGTCACATGACAAAGAACCTTATGCCCTTGGAACAGGTCATCACAAATTTAGGGCAGGAGCTTCTAAGCGGGCTGCTGGACATAGCAGCTCTGCTAGCTTTACCTTGGAAACTTATTCCTTGTACTTCAATGGAGCTCTGCATACCAGCAACCTTATCCCAAACACATTAGGTGCTGTGCATTAGCCTGCCTTACCCTTGCTTCCCATTTGTCTCATTTGGTGGGAAAGCCTGACAGTTGGAATAAGAAGAGCCCACTCTGCTAAGTGCTTTAGCTATGTGGCCCTGATACCTGATTAAGACACTCCCTCATCCTAACACTCAGCCCCAGCTAGATTTCTTCTGAACATTTGTTTACAAATATCCAGCATAACTGTAATTGCAAACTTAAGATCCAGTATTGTTCTCAGTGATGGCAGTGAAGGGAACCTCAGTGTTATAATTAGATCTCTTCTAGTATTGTTTCCACAGCAGTGGACACTCACCACAGATGTGGGCTTTTGAGTTCTAACATATATATCTCAATTCTGTCTCTTCACATTGGTTGTTGACACGTAAGTGAAGAGACCTGTGCTTTTACTGCTTGTTAAACCAATTAATGACTGCCTGATAGAGACCATCCTTGCTACACTGACAGTCTGAACCTTAGGAGTCAGGAAGAACTCTCATCGTATTGTCAAGTCAATGGAAAGGATGTCCATCCTAGCTGAGACGTGGTCTTCTTAAATATAAGAGAATTATAAGAAAACATTTGACATCTGCAATATCAGTTCTCCTCAATGCATGTTAGAAAGGACCAACAGCCATTCTGTGCTGGGCTACTTGTAAGCATACTAATCCTCCATTTGTGTCTCACAAGAGACATAAGTATAGTGGCTCTTTATGACTGCAAATAGCCAAGTACAGAAATTCTCTGTCAAGCACCATAACAAGCTTTCAACTCTTTCTGAACTGTCACAGAAAATGTATTTTTTATAATTTTCACAGATTTCCAATCACAGGTAATTAAGTGGCAATATGTCTCTCCTATGCCTTGGGCACATATCACTTTCCTTTCAGAGAACTTAGGAATGACTGCAACTTTCCACAAAACTGAAAACTGTCTGGAGAATAATAATTCCCTGATTCCCCTGTCACCTTATTCTCTGTTGCATGCTTCTCCTTTTCCACTTTGGCCAGAGTCAGTTCAAGATCATCAATATCTTTCTTCAGCCCAGAGCACTCATCTTCAAGTTTCCTTTTCTTTGCTGTCAGGTCAGCATTCGTTGCTTCTTCGTCCTCCATTCTTTCAGTTACTTCTTTAATTTTAGCTTCCAGCTGGATTTTATTTTTGATGAGTCCTCTACATCTCTCTTCAGCATCAGCTAGATTTTCACTCACCTGTTGGAACATAATGAAGGCATATTGTATTTATCATCAAAATGACAAAAGCCAACGCACTGTTCAAGTGCCATCTCTGGGAAATTAATTACACAACTCAGGGTAAAATTTCCTATGCAAATAGGACAATAATGCACACGATCTAACCATGAGGAAATTGTCCTGCTCAGTCATGGCTATTAAAATGGACCATAGTCCCATGGTACAGATACTTCCTTTCAGCTGTTCAGCTGGATACAATACCATGCCATAGACTCACAGTGTTCAATCATAACAAGGATCCTGCAAGGAATCAGTGAGATAAAAAGCTGTGTAGCAAACTGTATTTCATGGAAGCATAATCTTAGATGTGGATTTCCAAGTCATTTTTCATAAAATGTTGGATGATACTTTCTTCAATAAGCTCCTCCAACTCTAATGACATAAGTGAGAGCCTCCCAGACTTTTTCAACTTTATTCACATGAGGCTAACCTCGCTCCCATCATTCTCTAACCTCTTGCTCAGCCAAGCTAGGGTCAAGCTCAACCTAAACTGTAGCCTACATCTTTTACTAGAACTAACATTTTAAGACATGATTAACAGATAAAATTTTGTCTAAATTCTTGCTACTATGACTTTTTCTAGGCAGAATACCAGAGAAAGTATCTGCTGCCTCCCAAAAAACTTACGGCTGAAAGCCATCACTGCAGTAACTGAAGATGGTATGTTTCACTGTCTCTGAGATTCTGACTGAAACCCATAGTGCACTGGAAATCGTGACTATAATTATGGAAATCTTCTGGGGACAAACTTGGAGAAGTTGGTGCTTGAGGTATCTTTCAGGCGGGGTTGTTAGACATTTCCACAGGAAAATAGCAAGAACACAGGAAGGACTCTTCTAGTACTGAAACAATGGAAAACTGAGAATCAAGAAAAAGTCAGACAACACACTTGAGGGGAATGATTATACCTTAGGAGTTCTTTTATGTTCAAAAATCTGAGTGCTTTGAAAGGCATCGTAACCTGGAAGTTATTTAACCTAGTTAAACTTGGTCTTCTCAGTTGTGCGGTTTTTTTTGGCTTGCCATCCATGAAGGGTTTAATAAATTGAAGTCCCAAATGCTTGCAAACTAGATGGGTTCTGGAGAGCAAAGCATTAAGTACCAAGAAGGGCACAAAGAAACTCAGGTTAAGTTGAAGTTCCGAAGAAGGATTCAGGTAATGAACTTGATCTTCAGCAGGGACAGTTAGCCTCGGTGCTTGAAACAATACAAGGCCAATTTAGTGGCCTTCTAGGTCTATGTAGCCCCATCTATGGGGCTACAGAACTGATGGACAGGGGCAGAGCAGTGGATGTCATCTACCTGGACTTGTACAAAGCATTCGACACTGCCCAGCATGACATTCTTGTCTCTAAATTAGAGAGACATCAATTTGATGGATGGACCACTCGGTGGATAAAGAACTGGCTGGATGGCCACATGCAAAGAATTGTGGTCAATGGCTTAATGTCCAGTTGGAAAACAGTAATGAGTCTGTCCCTCAGGGATTGGTGTTGGAACTGATGATCTTGTTCAACATCTTTGTTGATGACATGGACAGTGGGATTGAGTGTGCCCTCAATAAGTTTGCCAATGACACCAAGTTGTGTGGTTCGGTTGATACACTGGAGGGAAGGAATGCCATCCAGAGGGACCTCGACACGCTTGTGAGGTGGGCTGATGATGCCAACCTTATGAAGTTTAACCAAGTCAAGGGCAAGGTCCTACACCTGGGTTGGGGCAGTCAAGGCACAGCTACAGGTTGGGTGCAAAAGAAATTCAGAGCAGCCCTGAGAAGAACTTGAGGGTGTTGGTTGATGAGAAACTGAGCATGAGCCAGCAGTGTGCGCTTGCAGCCCAGAAAGCCAACCGTATCCTGGGCTGCATCAAAAGGAGCGTGACCAGCAGGTCGAAGGAGGTGATCCTGCCCCTCTGCTCTGCTCTTGTGAGACCTCACCTGGAGCATTGTGTGCAGTTCTGGTGTGCTCAACAGAAAAAGGACATGGAACTGTTGGAACAAGTCCAGAGGAGGCCACGAGGGTGATCAGGGGCTGGAGCACCTCCTGTATGAAAGTTGGGGCTGTTCAGCCTGGAGAAGAGAAGGCTGCGTGGAGACCTCATAGCAGCCTTCCAGTATCTGAAGAGGCCCTATAGGGATGCTGGGGAGTGATTCTTCATTAGGACTGTAGTGACAGGACAAGGGGTAATGAGTTAAAACTTAAACAAGGGAAGTTTAGATTGGATATAAGGAAGAAGTTCTTTACTGTTAGGGTGCTGAGGCACTGGAATGGGTTGCCCAGGGAGTTGTGACTGCTCCATCCCTGGTGGTGTTCAAGGCCAAGTTGGACAGAGCCTTGGGTGACATGGTTTAATGGGAAGTGTCCCTGCGCATGGCAGGGGTTTGGAACTGGATGATCTTAAGGTCCTTTCCAACTGCAACTATGATTCTATGATTCTGTGATTCTAAGACACTTTCAAAACCCAACTGGCTTGAAAGCACAGGGAAACAAGTGACAGGTCTACTTGCACCAGACTGTCCTTGGGCATGCAGTATCCTTTTAAACCTTTTAAAACCTGACAGTATTCCTATCTTGTGTAATTTCAGACTTGTCTCATCAGTATTCCAGAGAAAAGCGTTAGTTTTTTTCCACAGTTTCAGTTCTGTGTGACAGAAAAGCACCCCTGTCCCAGCTCCCTATTATAATGGTCAGCAGATGGGGAAACAGCTTGTATTTCATCCAGAATCAGACTCCATTGTTAGGAGCACACTGTATATATTGTGGGACATCTGATTCTTCCCCTGGTGATTGCTTAATAATGAAGTGGGGTTACATGGGCACCCAGTCAGAATCTCCTGTATTCCTACTAGCAATGTTTCATATATTCTTTGTACTCATTTTGTTTAGGTGTAATGACAAGACCAGATAAAAGCAGTGGAGAATCCAGCCCTTTTCCATGTCTGTTTGTGAAGGACCATGGAAAAGGGAAGGGAAAGCAGAATAAGAAGTGGGTGAAACGAAAAGTTGAGGTTACTCACAGACTGAACATGAAGCTGCAGGTCATTTTTCTCTTGCACCAAGGTCACAATTTTCTCCTCCAGCTCTTTCCTTATTGTCTCAGACTTTGCAAGCTCTTCCTTGGTTTTCTCAAATTCCTCTTTCATGTTGGCTATCTCCTTCTCAGATTCTGCCTTCTTCATCAAGGGTTTAATCATGGTCAACAGCTTCATCCAGGGCCAGTGCCTGACGGTCAGGAATGCACGAATGTTGTCCTGGATGGTATAAATGGATTCTCTGAAAATACATGAAAGCAGGGTTTATGAGGATGGTAAGATTTGGGTTAGAAACGCTCTGATGACTGGCTAGATGGCATCATCTTTTGCCTCAAGGAATTTCTGCATGAAATTTTTTTCTTCATCTCTATTAATAAGAGTCATTTCTAGGCCCTTGGTTGCAGAGTGGCTGGTTCAGTAGCATGAGCAATAACTATGTCTGGATTAAGAGGGAGAAATACTCCAAAGCAGACAAACTTCTCTGGCATGTTACCTGTGAATCTCTTAGATTTTCCTTAGTCTTAAAGAAAGTTCAATGCTCAGGTAAATACCAGAGTGAAAACTGACATCCTTGCCATGTATTGCTGCTGAAATCTGGGAGTTACTGTCAGTTGTGGAAACAGAAGCTTGATGCTTTTCAGGTCACTCAAAATAGCAAATACCATATTAGAAATATATAAATTATACTTTGGAATCCAAAAGGGTGTTGTTGATGCCCATAGTTCAAAGGGAAATTAAGACAATTCGCCATAGAAAAATCATAGACCTTAAGATCATCTAGTTCCAGCCCCCCTGCTGTGGGCAGGGACACCTTACGCTAAATCATATCACCCAAGGCCTCGTCCAACCTGGCCTTGAACACTGCCAGGGATGGAGCATTTACAACCTCCCTGGGCACCCCATTCCAGTGCCTCACCACCCTAAACAGGAAACAATTTCCTTCTTATATCCGATCTAAACTTCCCCTGTTTAAGTTTTAGCCCGTTACCCCTTGTCCTATCACTACAGTCTCTAATGAAGAGTCCCTCACCAGCATCCCTATAAGCCCCCTTCAGATACTGGAAGGCTGCTACGAGGTCTCTATGCAGCCTTCTCTTCTCCAGGCTGAACAGCCCCAACTTCCTCAGCCTGTCTTCGTACGGGAGGTGCTCCAGCCCCTGATCATCCTCATGGCCCTTCTCTGGACTTGTTCCAACAGTTCCAGTAAGAATTATTGAGTTCTTAGAAACTATACCTGGCTCAGGAAGCCCGTGAGCTAAATATATCCTGCGTAGTATTACAGATAAAAGCAGCTGGTTGGCAGAGCACCCTATACATTTATGCAATCTTTGTTCCCCCTAAAGCTTTCGCTTGTCAACATTTGAGAAAGTTTGCTTGGCTCACTCAGTGCTGCCACTCCTACACTATAAATTTTGCATGATTCAACCAATTTCAAAGGGAGAGAGCTGAAAATGGGAAGTGCATTCTGGGTGATTGAAAGTATGGAAGTAACTTCTTTGTACAAGCTAGAATTGTTCATTGTAGATGATGGAATCATGAAAGAAAATGAATGAGAAGGAGAGCAGAGATTGATCATATGCCATTCCTTGCAAAACACAATGCGATCCAGTGAAATTATCAGACAACATGTTAAAACCAGACAGACCTCAGCTGGCTTAGATGACTGTCTCTGTCACAGGTTAGGTGCATTCCTGGAGAAAAAGTTCACTGTTAAATACTAAATATCACGGCCCAGCCACACGGTCCAATTACTTAATAACCACTGCCACAATTTGGAAGGCTATGGCAAGGAAACTCTTTGGGCTTGCTCTTTTTCCCCTAGTCTTTCTAGGAGTCTCTCTTGAGAGCAGGTTTTTGCCTCAGACAGTATACTGCATTGCTGGACTTTTGGTCTGACACAGCATGATTGTTAGTATTTTCTTATATTACCTTTTTCCACCCATTGTTTTGTATTTTTTTCTCATGAGGAACCCTCTGCAGATGGCTTGTATACTAGTGATGATGCTCGCAACCTTACAATCTCTCATCTCTTCCAAGACTCCCAAGAAACCTGCCTTGAAGAAAACCTAGAACATAAAAGAGTGTCAAATATTTTGAGGCTTAGGCAGCTGATGCAGGGTAGTACAAGGCAGTTTTGGAAAAATGCCTGCAGAGTAAAGGTTTAACAGCTAAAGAAATTTTGTGTCGGTATTCATATCCTCAGGGTTCCTGTGATTCACGACAAGTTACTCTATGTATGATCTAATCACATTATTGCTGTGTTATTGGATGCCTGCTCCAGTGCAGGCTGTAGAAGATTTAGCTCATCAGTAGTTATTAAAACAAAAAGTTGACTTTCAGCTTAGTACTGTATCTTACTCTGTCTGTTTGCTGTACTCTACCCTTCTATGTCAGGCTCAGGATTTGCTCACTGACTTAGAAATGGCTTGAAAAGCGTACATGATGTCTACTCAGTAGTGTAGGTGATTTTTTTTTTTGTCCAGATATAGTAGTGCTTTGAGTCTGCTGATCAGAGAATCAGTGTCCCACCTGACACTGCTTTGGATATGGATGATAGACCTGTGTGCCCAAATCCTCTGGAAAATCTGACTGTCCAAACTTGTCTGAGCCTGTCTAACACACAATAGTACAAATAAGTTCAACTGGCAGGAGAAAGGGGCAGCACTAGTTTTAGTTGCAGCTGCTCTAGGTCATTCTGGTAGTATGGTGTTCCCAGGGCTGACAGTGCTACCCTTTACATATACCCCAGAACCCGAGAAGTTTTCTATACCCCTTCTTGCTTTCTTTCTGACCGTTGTGAAGGCTGATTTCATAGGCAAGAAATACTTTCAACAAACAAATTTTTTTTGCTCATAATCATACCCACTGTTCCACAAGGGCTTTACCTTAGTGTGGCCAAATTTGTATTGGTTGTGGTCAACATCAATGGAGGAAAGAAGCTTTTCTGAAGCCTGTTTGCTGTCAGTGGATTGGTCATCTGGAATGGCTGAGGCATTAAGTATCTTGTACCTGTGGTAAGACAGGTTGCAAGGACTGACTGCAGGCAGGGTGAGGAAAATATGATCCATCATATATCATAAAATATATGGAAGCTGAGCTATCTGCAAGCAGCTGAATATGCCATCTGAAATGAGACAGTCTTTCCTAAACAGAACGTGATGACAAGGGGACATGTCTACTCCTCAGCGGAATCTGTTGGCTATGTAACAACACAGTATGTTGTTACATACAAAATGTGTGTACTGAAGAGTGCCTGTAGGTCCAGGAATTAGGAAGAACATAGTGAGAACATGTCAGCCTCTTCTCTTGTCTCATTGATCAGAGGAATGCTACTCAAAATTGAAGATGAATTAAAACTATTAATCAAAATCAGCTATATTCTAAAGGAAATATAGATCTTGCACAGTTCACAGCTCTATAAAGTTGTAGCTCTGAATCCACTGAATCCTTTGGACTAAAAATAGCACAGTATTATTCTGTAAATGCTAAGAGCAGTTTAAGCATTTTGTAAGGGAACTTAATGATTAAGATAATCCAGTGTCATGGAAAGGACTACCTCATCCTTCTAAAGGGATTTCTTCAGGTACATGAGGATGTGTGATTCTGCACTGGAGCACTTCTTATTCTCAAGTCTCTCTTGAAGCAGAATATGTAAAATTGAGACAGTGATAGTGGTGCAATGAATTTATTCTCTATTTTAGGCTTCCATTGTAGTTCCTCCTGAACTTCAGTTCATTTGCTTTGAACTATAAAGCACTTTGTGGTTGTGAACTATGGCCATTATGGATAGATTCCTTCACCTGTCACATCAAATTATGATTTGAGAATTGAGAACAGCTAATGCCTTACTGAACATCAGGTTGCAGGGCATTTTGAGAGAGTTCTTAGGTCCTTTTCACACCATTTCAACATGGAAAATGCTACTGTCACATTTAAATGTAACAGCAGCGAGTTCTGATTCAGGCATTTATAGCAACAGAGCTCATATGAACCTGTTTAATTGTCTCCATTTTAAAGATGAGAAAAACAGGGCAGAGGATGCAGGCCAGGGATAGAGCATTGGGAAATCCTTGGAGTTTTGCATGCTTAGTCAGTGCACAGTAAGAAGACTGTGCTGACGTGTTGTTTTTGCATCTATTCTCTTGGAGACTTACAAAGAGAGTCTCTAATGCCGTGTAATTCATTACACTGCAAGCATTTTGCATCTCTTTGAATCATCAGGCATTGACTCCAGTTTAGAAACTGTACTGGTTCTGCAGAATCAAAAAATCTCTGGTCTGATCAAAGAAGGAAAGACTGGGGTGACGTGACAGTATTTATTTCTTGGTTCTCTCAAATGACTAGTCTGATTCAGAGGGTTTCTCTCAATGTTGTCACCAGACTTGTCACCTGAGCTGTGGGTTTAACTGAGGCCTTATCTTAAAAGACAGTAGTAACTGAAGACTTACCGTTGCTTGAAGTCTACATAAAGGATTCTGCTTGGAAACCCTTTTCTGCAAATTCGAATGCCTTCTAGAACTCCATTGCACCGCAGCTGATGCATCACCAAGAAATGGTCCATTTCACCTTAAAGAAAATACATCCATCATGACTCTTCCTTTCTTCCAAAAAATCTCCATATGTTTTAGCATTCCAGAATGACCTCCTTTTTTTTTTTTTTTTTTAATAAATTCAACCGTCTTTTGATAAAAGATGCAGGAAGTGGAGAGAGAACATGTCTTCAATTCATACAAGTTGCAGAGATCGTACTAAGAAGAGCAGAATTTGTGAATTGCCAACACCCAAAAGGCATGCGGCCATATTAGTCAAAAATGTCAGGACAGTGGTTTAGGAGACCAGCTGAAAGATCTTCTACAGCATCAGCATCCACATTAAGTGTTGGTAGAGGTGGCACAATGCAGAGCGTAGTGCATCTAGACAATCAGCTCTTCACATTATGTACCTCACATCATACCTTCGATCTGCCATGCAAGTATTGACTATACTCAAACTTAATTAGATTTGATAGCTAGATAGATTGCAACACAGGAAGGGATAAGCAGGTTGCTTAAAGCTTTCAGTCTGCCTGCAGAGGACAGTTGATTTAAATTGGAAGAATTATCTTTCTCCTCCTAATATATCTATTGGATATAATAATCAGCTGTATTTCGAAGCCTAATTTCCAAGCATTACAAAGTACAACTGACAAAATAAAAACCTCTTGGAGCCACTGTGTCATGAAGAAATTTCCATCAGCTGCCAGAGACTTTAATTAGTACAGTGTGGTCCATACCCTTAACTTTATCTTTTCAGTGTTATCAATAGTTGTACCCAAATAGAAAAGTTGAGCACAAGCAGCCAAAACCCAGCTAAAAATCAGAAGATGTCCAGTTTCTGTCCCTTCACTTCACCATCCTTAATTTTGCTCACACAGCATTACTTTTCTTTCCTTAAAGGGCAAAAGTTAAGATTCCCTCTGAGTCATCTGTCAAAACAACTAACCAAACATTAAAATGACAGCAATATCTAGCAAAATAATTCATTCAAATATGCTTTCCTATTTTAGTAGGTTTCTTTAATTCCCCACTTCTTAACACTTGACTATCAAGACCCCAGTGGGATTCCTCTTTCTTCACTTAAGATATGAAGTGTGGACATTTCCATTTGGGCTTCATTTATAGTCAGTGGAGTGAAAAAGTTTCTTCTAGGATGTGATTCATCTCATCCTAAGGTAGATGTATAAAGGAGGCCAGATGAGTCGTATCTTAGAATGCCAGCTTCTCTCCACTGAATATAAAAGCAGTTTTGATGAATAGCTGAAATGTGAATGTCATTCATGTATGTGTTGCTTGAATCCTGCTTGTGGTTTTTGGGGTTACACAGAGACATAAACAAGAAAGGTAAGGAACGTTCTGAAATTGGTCTTTTGTTTCCTGAGCATATTAAACAGATGCTAAGATCCTGTTTCCTCATATTCCTGTTGCATCCATTACATTCTACCAGTACTGATAGGACAAGAGGAAACGGCCTCAAGCTGCACCAGGGGAGGCTTAGACTGGATTTTAGGAAAAAATTTCTTCAGTGAAAGGGTGGTCAGGCATTGAAACAGCCTGCCCTGAAATGGGAAGTGGTGAAGATTCCACAAATGGGGGAATCACTGTCCCTGGAAGTATTCAGAAACTGTGTAGATGAGGACCTTAGTGACATGCTTTAGTGGTGGCCTTGGCAGTTCTGAGGTAAAGGTTGCACTTGATGGTCTGAAAGGTCTTTTCCAACCTAGCTGATTCTATAATTCTGTGATTCCTAAAACCCACACAGGCAAGTCTCCCCCCAGGTACTTTAATTTAGTGGCCACATGAAAATACTCCCACACTTGACTGTGCCCAGAGACAAAATTCCTTGTGAGAGTTTAATATTTAATTATATAAAGAAAATAAAAAGGAAATTTATATCAAAATGAATTCCAAGTGCTAGCAGCACCCAGCAGCTTGTACCTGGAATTCTGTAAGTGATATATGATTGCTTTGACAGTCCTCCAGCTCAGTGAATCAGATCATAACACTGAATATTTAGAAATTGGTAAGTGGTCTTGGGCTGAACCCAACAGTTCTGAATGATATGGTGGTTCTTAAAACTAGGCACTTTTTTAGGGATTTGCTAATGCTATTACACACAACAGACCATTTCATCAGCTGTGATCAAGCCCATCTCATTCATCTTCAGTGCTGTACACACATTAAGAGAAGATGGGTAATTGCTGGAGACTGTAAGGCTCAAAATTTCACACTCACTGTAACAATAAAAAAAGATTTGGACACTGTCCTGCAGGCCAATTCCTGCAGAAGTTTCACATGCAAAGGGAACTGTTCTGGGAGAAGTTGATGTGGAAGCTAACCAGGCCAAGTCCCGCCAGTCCCATGTCGTCAGAGTTTAATGCTGGACTTACCAGGTGTTTTGGACTCATTAGGAACCAGGCATCGCACAAAGTGAGGATGGGTACTTCTCAGGTTAGTCATCAACTTGTTTAGATTTTCCTATGATAGACAAAACATGGGTTTGAACTTTGGGGCATAAAACTTTTGCATCCTTATTCAAATATCAAGGGGTTATAGAATCCCATAATGGTTTGGATTGGAAGGGGCCTTTGAAGTTCATCAAGTCCAATACCCCTGCCATGGGCAGGGACATTTTTCAGTAAACCATGTTGCTGAAAGCCCCATCCAGCCTGACTAGGAACAATTCCAATGATGGGGCAGCCACAGCTTCTCCAGGCAACTTGTTCCAGTGTCTCACCACCCTCACTGTAAAGACTGTATTCTTTAAGTCCAGTTTAAACCAACCTTCTTTGATTTTAAAACCATTGCCTCTAGTCCTGCACTACAGGCACTATGAAAAGTGTTTCTCTGTCTTTCTGATAAGCCCCTTTTATATATTGAAAGGCTGCAGTAAGGTGTCCCTGAAGCCTTCTCTTCCCCAGGCTGAATTACATTAACTTTCTTCATAGGAGAAGTGTTTTGGATCATTTTGGCGGAAACACAGCTCATTTAAAAGGAAATTCACATACCCTGAACACAGCAGACACTGTTTGGAAAGAGCCACCCTTCTTCTTACCACCTTTCTTGCCACCAGCAGTATCGCCTTTTAAGAAGTAGATAAGAGGTGCACGGTTAGAATAAGCAGTAAGTTTTGTAGGCCTCACCTTCCTTTCTTTGGCCATAAGCCAATAATGTAATCAACTTTAAATTTTAAATACCCACTGCTGCATGAGAGTTTTAGTGAACTGCTTCTGTCTGGTTGGTGATATTTGCTCTCAGATGCATGATTTAGGTTGCATCATGCTTTAGCGGCATGGAATTCCTATGGCCTGACATAACTTTCATAACAGTATGCTCTGTGCATCTAGTTACTTTCCTTCTACTTACAGACATAGCCACAGTCATTATTTTTTTATTTAATTAGATGAAAGGCCACAAGAACATGGCTCAGCAGTTGACATTTCTTTATCAGTGCAGTGAAGTCTTCTTTAGAAACATCTCCTAATCCGGTGTTTCAGGTGAAAAAATAGGGATCTCTTCTGGTTTATGACTTCACCATGACAGGAAACAAATTCCAGTCTCAGGAATACAAATCCAAGCAGCTCATTGCCTTTTAATATTTGCTGCACCATTGATGCCAGTTAAATGGATACTTAAATGAAGTCTTTGTTCTCCTAATTTCACACTTTATCCAAAATTTTATCTTCGCAACCTTTTCCTCTCACCTTCCTTATATTGGTGATACCTGCAAAGACCACAACTGACACATCCCCAGTATTTCCTAAGAGCTTGCCTAGACACATTGTTATCTCAGTCAAACTGAACTGCAGGAAAGTTCCCACGCACTACCTTCTTGAATCCCAAACCCTGCTGTCCATATGCCTGATGGCTGAGTTGACTACTGCTGTATACTGCCTCGTCTTTTTGCCCAGCACTCAGGCTGCCAGAATATTGGGAGTTTTTTGGTAGAAATCTGTGTGGCCATTTTTGGTAAGGCAGACGTGTTGGCTGTCCAAGTTGATTATCTTCAGCCACAAAAAAGGGCAAGAGAGTGGGCTGCTCTTTGATGCCCTTAGAGGACTATTACACTGTATTCTCTATCTCATTTTCCCTTGCAACACCAGGACTGCTCAGCTGGGTATGAAATAGTTCCACAGACTCTTTTAGTTCTTGTAGTTCACCTCAGTAAACAAAACTCTGTCCCCAAAGACTAAAAAGTGCTTTACTTAAAGTAAAGTATACTTTACATGTATAGTTGATACCCATCTAGAGGATGAGTAAGTATGCGCATGATTCACAACATAGTGAGTCACTTTGTATTGGACTCACTGTGTTTTACTTCTCTGCGCCACATGAATGTGGTGTTTTCAGCAGTTCTGCATGTTGATATCTTAATTTTGGCATAACTGAGTGCACACAAGAACAAGGCCACCTTAGGGGACGATAGTCTAAAGTATACCACAGAAAGCAGAAGAAGAAGTAGACTTAAGTTGGCTCTTGCCTTATTGATCATCACTGATAAAGCACTTACTTGTTTCTGCACTTGCATAATTAGAGAAAAGGAAGCACAGTAGCTTCAAGGATGATTTCTGGTACAACTCTACCACACTTTCATTCAGGGGGTCCTTGTTCTTGTCAAGCCAGCCAGCAATGTTGTAGTCCACCGTGCCAGCATAGTGCACCAGAGCGAAGTGAGCCTCAGCCTTGCCTTTGGCAGGCTTGGGCTTCTGGAAGTTTTTGTTCTTGCCCAGGTGCTGGTCATAGAGCTTGTTCTTGAAAGAGGTGTCAGTTGCCTTGGGGAACATACACTCCTCTTCCAGGATGGAGAAGATGCCCATGGGCTGGAAGAAATATGAAAACATGAAGAAAGTGGTGGGGAGAAGAAAAGTAAATAAAATATTACCTTCCATATAATCTGTGGCTTGTTTCAGTGACTGTAATTTATATTGCCTAAGTTCTTAAAGCACCACTAGTTACTATAATAATCAGACAAACTATAATTAGTCTGTGTTGCTCAGGCTACTACCCATGAACATGGCAACTCAACAATGCTGTTCGCAGTATTCATAGATACATGCATCTTTGAATGGAAGACTATATATACATATTTTAATCTATTGTTTTGATTCTCATTACCCTACATCATTAGGAAGTAGGTGTTAGCATCCTGTTTGTGGGCCTGATGCCATTGTGCATGTCTGTTACAAGCCATAAGGTTGCAGTTGTCAATGTGGACTTAATTTGATGGCTTCTCAGGAAAGTGCAGATTACTGATACCTACCGGCTCTGGTTTTGTCTACAGTGAATGTGAACGATGGATCAGATTTTCCACACCTTATATGAAGTGTAAATGACAACCTGTCACTTTAGAATACCTATAGACTTTTAATTTGTCTCAGAATTTCATTTACAATGAGAAGAATTTCAATATAGAGATGTAGGCACATTCACAGAGCTTTTGTTGGAGCTACATTAGGTATCTTCTGATAGTACAGACAAGCACATCCTCTGATACTGCTGGAGACAATGATGTGATCTGTACCTTTCTGGCCTAGAGAGAATTCTGTGAGTTCCTTCTTTGTATGAACCCCTTTTTTTTTTTTTTTAGTTTAATTTAATAAGGTGCCATGAGATGCTTACATCTGATTTCAGCTGGATAGCTGCCAGAGCTAGGGGTTCTTCCAGAGCAGCAGCAACTACAGAAGGTGGATGTTGGGAAGGAATGCTATGCTTTGAATGAAGACTTTGCTGTCTAGGTGTGGCTGCTGTATGAGAGCTAGGGGTTTAGCATACATCTTGCCTAAGTGTAGGTGTCTATAAAACAAAATCTAGATCTGAGCTAGCTGTCCAGATTGCTTTTCTATTATGGAACACATTATAAAGACATTTCACAGAATCCCTAACAGAATGTACCAGATGATTTGCATCTTAGAAGTGTCTGCTCCTTTTCTGTCATTGCAAAAGATTTTACAACATTAGATCAGCATAGGTGTTCTGCTTCCACTGGCTCTACTACTGTGCATTGCATAGATGGGGGACACAAAATGTGTGGCCACTGAACACTTAGTGTGGATATGGGGTGTTAAATAAAGTAAAAGGCAACAGGCAGTAGCTGTGAATGGTCGTGCTGCCTGTAGATGCTGCTATGTGGTGGGAAGTGTGGGAGGTTAGCAAGAAATGTGTCTCATGTGCAAAGGCATAACACATGGAATGAATATAAAGCAGAGAACATGCATGTGGAATGGCTGTACCAGTCACTGGGCATAGGGCATGAATAACAGTGCTGGGAGCAGATACCTGTATGCTCCTGAGAAGGAAGATGTTTGCATATGTGCATATTGGATTTGCACATGATGTGTAAGAGCTGTGCACAGCCACTAGACACTGGCTTGTAACATAGCAGTGAGGGGTTCATTCCCATTAAGGTCCCCAGTGCAGTGGCAGTGAGCAGTGACAGAGGGGCCAGAAAGGGCTATGTTGCTAGAACCAGAACTGCTACCCGTTACAGCAAGTAGTAGGACTTGAGGTTCACTTTACTGTTAAAGGCAGTTTTGTTAAGGCACCAAGTTAACATTGTGTACCCCCTCTCCCGTCCACCCCAGCCATGTTGTTCAGGAAGTAATTTTTATCACAGAGGGAGCCTGTCATTCCCAAAGCTTTTGGTTTATGAACTACCTTTTCTTATGTTAGAAGGTCATTCGACATTAATGTGACCCTTTATTAAGAATGACTGGACTAAAATAAATGCCCACGAGAGAAATGTGCTCTCCTAAAATGAAAACAAAAAAATCCTCTACCTTCTCAATGAGCTCAATGCAAGCAGCCAGATCCATCCCAAAGTCAATGAATTCCCATTCAATTCCTTCCTTCTTGTACTCTTCCTGCTCCAGCACGAACATGTGGTGGTTGAAGAACTGTTGCAGTTTTTCATTGGTGAAGTTGATGCACAGCTGCTCCAGGCTGTTGAACTGCAAATTCAAAATATATAAAAAAGCCAGTTAGTTTGGAAATGTCATCAATGGGCAATTGTACTTACTGTAACTCACATCAAAGATCTCAAAGCCAGCAATATCCAGGACACCAATGAAAGATGCTCTGGGTTGCTTTGTATCCAGCTGTTGGTTGATGCGAACAACCATCCACAGGAACATCTTCTCATAGACTGATTTAGCCAATGCACCCACTGAATTGTACACCTGTAAGAAACACAACCAAGGCAGTAACGAAAGTTGAGTTAGCTTTAAAGCTGAAAGAACTGTCTGAATAAAATGAAAAGCTGATCAGCTGTCAAGGTACCTGTTGGACGTTTTGTCCTTTAGTTACATATTCATTCCCGACTTTGACCCTGGGATAGCATAAAGCCTTGAGGAAATCAGCAGAATTCAGACCCATCAGGTAGGCAGCTTTATCAGCCACTAGGATCAGAGACAGCAGACAAGGTCAAATGAGATAAAGAAAGCTGTCTTGGCCCTCTAGGATGTTCCTGTCACAAGGAACTCACTTTCTGTGCTACTCAGATGCACCTATTGTTAAGGAAAGTTTCCACTTTAATATAGGCAATTTCTCAGCTGCAGCACACTCCTCTTCCATGTCTGGAGGGCTGCAGCAATGCTTCATTTCTATGTATTTCTGTCTCCTTGTGGAGCATAAATTCAGTCACTGACTTGCAACAAACTGAAAAAAATTAGTTTCTGGAAGGGAAATTCGTTCTCAAAGTGTTGGGCACTTCATGGGACAGGGTTACTAGCTTGTCTCCTGTTGCAGTTCACAAGCAAAATCTGCAGTCAACACTACCTCCTGTGCCATCTGGCTCTGCCTGCTCCTCACGCTGCTTCTGCTTGAACTTCATGTTCCCATAGTGCATGACAGCCCCCGTCACCTTATATATCCCTTCCTTCTCTTCAGGGCTGAAGCCCAGGATGTCCACGGCATTCTGCAGAGGCAACAGGGTAGGTTAGACAAGCACAAGGGCTGAAGAACAGGGTGCTGTAACAGGTACATGTGCTGTGATGAGAAGGTAGGGTTTCTCCCCCTGCTTTTTTGCCTCCCTGCCTGCACTGAGCTGTGCTTCCCTGGCCACAGCTGCTCTGACTGTGGGGTCATCCTGTGGGTGCTCCCCTGTACTCACATCCATCGCCAGCAGCTCCTCAGCATCATTAATACTGGAAACAGTGACTTCTCCTTGGCTCACGTACTGGAAATCGTAGGGGTTGGTGGAGATACGGAGGAGATCTGCAGGTATACAGGGCACCTTTGGTGGCATTGGGGCAGGTCATAGCAGAAAGGGGAAGCACTCACTGAGCTAAGCCCAGCACTACTGGCACTCACCAATGAGCTCTGGCTTCTTGTTGGACATTATCTGATAAAAAATATGATAGCTTCTTTCACTGGACAGCTGGAAAGTCACTCTGGATTTCTCCAGAAGATCTAACCAAAAGAGAGATGTCATCAGCCTCCTGGTAAAGTAGAGATCCTTATTGCACAAATTCTGCCTCCACTGACTTGCTCATAACTCACAGGTTTCGATATCTGCAGAGGCCAGCTTGCCAGTTTTTCCAAAGTGAATCCGGATAAATTTTCCCTGTCAGGCAGTACAGATCAACCCATTGGTTATAGCGATCAAAGAATGGGACATGTATGAGATGTCTGCATTCCACCAAATCTTAAATAAACTCACAAAGCGCGAGGAGTTGTCGTTCCTCACAGTCTTGGCGTTGCCAAAGGCCTCCAGCAGTGGGTTGGCACTGATGATTTGATCCTCCAGAGTTCCCTAGTTACAAGAGAAAAAGCTTCTTATCAAATCTTGCTACTGGTTAAAAACAAATATTGCAAAGGAGATAATACGAACAGGCAATTCCTATACTTCATATGTGATTTTTAAATGTATTGGAGTTTTTAAGCATTTATTCACTCATGAATATTGCCATTGGTTTCAAAGTGGAGAGTTTCTTAGCTGCATGACTGCAGAAGGTATGATCAGCGTGTAAAGTTTCGGTACTGTATTGTGTCACTCTTGTTAACTGCAAAAATATGGGAGGAAAGAAGGTTCTGTGGCATTATGCCTCTCCTTTGCCTTGCAATATATAGGGTCCAGGAAGTAGAGTCACCCTGTGCTTTTATGGAATGCTAGAACAAAGCTTTTCTCAAGGATTCTAGCAAAGTCATAATTGATCGTGATGTAGTCAGGGTGTGTAAGTGTTGCCAGGGATAATTTCCAAGACAGAAAAAAAAAAAAAAGAGAACAAACAATCAATTTGTATCCGGATGACAGATGAGCAGCACAGCTCAAGTTCCTGCATCTTTGTGTGTGGTGGTGCTCAGCTCAGCCTTTCTCAACTTTCCGTGGAGAGGGAGCGCCATTCCCAGCACTGTCTGCAGATGGCACAATGGGTTTAAATAAGTTGTTACAAGTCCACCGTGAAGATGAACCCTCTAAAATTAAGGAAATACAGTAGCATATGAAGCTCTCTCTCTCTTTTTTTTGTCTTAATTAAGGCAGCACAGTATCAGATTAAGCTCCATGTATATATATATTTAATAACACCACCCCCCCCCCCCAATCTCTACAGCAATGCCCTCTCATATGTGTCTTCCAGCTTTCTAAAGGAACTTCCTCTTCTCTGTTTATGAGAAGAGATACGTGTGTCAGTGCAGCTGACTACACCAACACCAAAGCTCTTCTTAGTGCACAGCTGTGACCAGGGTACTCCCAAGGGAGTATTGTTCATGGAGAATAGCATAGAAGATGGCATGGCAATTCTTTACAAAGTTCATTCTGGAGACCTGCCTAGAGGCTGGGTGACAAAGTGCTGGACGCTGAGACAGTATTCTGGAGAAATGCTGTTACATGTTCCTGTACTCGTATACTCTTGCCTGGCATCTGATTGCAGCCTACATCTGAGGTAGGATTCTGAGCTAAATAGAACTATAACCTGAGTGTTTTATTTAATGCTCTTATGAAGAGGCACATACTTCTGTTACAGAGATTGTGAATAAAATAGGCTATTTGGAAGAAGGCAGAATAAATTTTTATCCATCTGAGAGTCAGGTGAATTTCCTTATATCAAACACAGACATCTCTCAGCTGTCTCCAAGTTCTGCAATCAGTGCTGGCATAGTGGGCAGCTGGTGAAAGCTGAGCCCAGGATATTCTCAAATGCTGCTGATGGAAAGAGTGTTTATGATGCACTTGCCTTGTCCATAACAGCCCATCAATCACAGACACCTGCCTCTAAGTGTGGAAAGCATATTCAGCCTTGGAATCTCCTTACGTTCCTCTGTGCCCTTGGGTACTCAAATAACATGCTGACACGTGTCACCCACTTTGATGCACATACCATCTCAAAGACTTTGGTGACACACACTTGTGCTGCAAGGATGTTTGTTGCTTGCTCTGTGCTAGGGAGTGAAACCCATGCTTTGCAAATACACCAGTGGGCTCAGATTGTGGCAGTGGGGCTGCTCAGCAGGAAGGGTCATTAGGGTATATGCTTTCTTCCCTGGAAGGATCCTTTTTGAGGTTACATTTCCACTGTCAGGTGAGTGGTCCCAGCTGTCCAAAATCTGTCCCTTTTCTTATGCCTCCACTAAGGGCTGTTACTTTGACCACAGGCAGGAGAACAAGCCAGTGGAAATTACTACCTGATGCAATTGAAATGGCTTTTAACTTCAATACAAGCACTATGGAGTTCAGAGTTACTGCACTTCCCCTGTCAATAGGAGTCAAACCAAGGAATAGGGATGGCACAGTCATGTGCCACTGGGAACCAGCTGCTCTCTTTGCACTTGCAGCCACTCGGGGCAGTGGATGTGGCTGAACTTGTAGGATACTGATGAACTGACTCGTAGTGCAGAGAAAATTGCTGTCTTACATTGTCTTCCTTTCCCTAGTGAAGACTTCTCCTGTGTAAATGAAGACTGGAGAGAAACTGAGGCTTGGACCTTTCCTACATAAAGAAAATGCTCCTTTAAGTAGAGTTCCACTAGTGTTCAGGGGGATGGAGGCCAGGTAGCAGGGGTAAATGAGCATTGGTGTGCTTGGACTGTGCATCCTGACTGTCTCCTCAGCAGTGCTACACTTTCTACCTATTGATAGTTGTGCAACCCAAAAAGATGCATTGATAGCTTCTGCTCTGCAGGCACAGTCTTGAGCAAACTCGAGAAGGGGGAGCAAGAGGCATACCTGCAGTTTGCCACTCTTTTCTTCTTCTTTCTTTTTGTCACCACTAACTGCAATTGTTGCAAAGTACTGGATGACTCGCTTGGTATTCACAGTCTTCCCTGCTCCAGATTCTCCACTGTTGGAATGAAAGTATTAATTGTTACAGAAAACAGGAAATAGGAAATACCTTTACTTCTCTGTCAGCTTTGAAACGTGTATCCAAACATACTCACGTGATAAGGATTGACTGGTTGCAAGAATCTGAAAACAAAGTACCAGAAAGAGATGTTGAAATGAGAAGTGAAGGACTTCTGTTCCTCAGACATAACTGACTGACTTCAAGGGAAATAACTGTATTGTCACTGTATTTATCACTTTGTAACCAGAGAAGGTAAACTCTGCATTAGTCTCCATGCGGATTTTTATTTTCTTTTTTCTTTTTTTTTTTTTCACAGAGGGATGGTTCTTTACAAGGCTTCCTCCTCACTGTTTGGCTTAAATATTTTTCCAATCAGAATCAGATTCTCTGCTGTGTTGCTTTACTGTTTCTTTAAATTCCTCACTAGGAGAGTGGGCACAAAGCCAGGCAGCTGGCTGCTACCTTTCCAGAGAGCACAGAGGTCATTAAGATGCCACAAGCAGTCTAATCTTAAGTTGTTCCATTAGGCTTCAGTCTGCTTTGTTGAGGCTGCATCTGGAGTTCTGGGCTTCCCAGTACAAGGAACTACTGAAGAGGGTCCAGTGATCCTTAATCAAAGCTGATAAAGGAACTGGAACATCCCTCTTTCGAGGAAAGGCTGAGAGACCTGAGCCTGTTTAGCTTGGAGAAGAGATGACTGAGAGGGGATCTTATCAATGCATGCAAACATTTTAAGGGTGGGTGTCAAGAGGATGGTACCAGGCTGTTATCCAGTGATAGGATAAGGGACAGAAGGCACAGACTGAAACACTGAATGTTCCATCTGAATATGAGGAAGACAAAGCACTGTAACAGGCTGCCAGAGAGGTTGTAGAGCTTCCTTCTCTGGGGATGTTCAAAACTCATCCCATGTCACGTGCTTTAGGTGAATCTGCATAACAAGGGAGTTGACTAAGATGATCTCCAGAGGTCCCTTCCAACCTACCAGTCTGTGATTCTGTGACTCTTTGGTATGGGAGCTGTTTCCATACAGGCACTGAGTAGAGCACCACCTAGGATGCCTGAACTCTCAAATGTTTCTTGACCAAGCAGTAACCCTGTATATATCAGTATTTTCCCGTTCTTGCCAAAAGACTCACCAGTCAGCATGGACTGATAGGCGTTGTCAGAGATTGAGAAGATGTGTGGAGGGGCCTCCTGGCGCTTCTTGCCTCGGTAACCAGCCACCACCTGCTGGCTGTACACCGGCAGCCACTTGTAGGGGTTGACGGTGACACAGAAGAGACCTGAGTAGGTCTGTGGGGAGGGAAGACAGCGCGTTGGCTTCCACTTAGGCTGGCAGAGCAGTTCCTCCCAGCTACGCAGAGGAAGACTGCTGCTGGTACTTACGTAGATCATCCAGGCTGCGTAACGCTCTTTGAGGTTGTACAGCACAGCGGGTTCATGGAGGTGGGTCATCATGGCCATGTCCTCGATTTTATCGTACTTGGGAGGGTTCATGGGAAAGACCTGGTCATCAGTTACAGTCACAGTCTGAGAAAAGCAGAAGAGAACAACAGGAGAAGAAATCTAAGTGAGGGAACTGCCTGGACTAAATGGTCATGTATGAATAGCTGTTGGTATCACTTACTGTATCATCATATGTTTTAACTGTGACTTTGCCGCCTTCTCTACTTTGTATAGTGGCTTTAACATACATTTGCTTTTCATCCACTACAAAACAGGCTGTCTTAGCATCAAATGGGCGGTTCTGGGCTTCAATTCTCTCCTTCTCAGTCTTCCGTAAATAGGGAGCAGCTTCTCCAAAAACTGCCATCTCTGCATCAGAACTCATGGCTGGAGTTGCTCTAGAGGAATTCAGAAAGGTTTCAGAGAACCTGTGCATTTTTAATTTATATTTATCCAGAAAATGGGTATGTTCAATGACTAAAAGGAAGGAGACTAATCAATGTAAGGCACTTAATTTCTGCCTTAATTTTAAGTATCTGAAGAAGTCCTAATAAAGCAAGTTCCTTTTGTAGACAGAGATGTTTACAAAAAAGAAAAAAATTGCCTTTAAAGGCATCACCCTTAAATAATGCCCCTGTGTGCAGAAGTGAAGGCAGAGACTTCAAGCTAGAAGTCTTTCAAAGCCTCTCCTGCCGTATCTTCGTTTGCTATTCACACAGCTGCACAGTCACATCCTTCTCAAAGCTACGTACACTAACCACTTAGATAGATTGTTTCATTAGATAGCTAAAAATCTAGACATAAATAAGATCTGTAAGTTAAGCAGATTGGCTCTTACACATAATTTCTAGGTGGAGGTATTCTTGGCACCCTTCTGTTTTCTGTATTTTAATACCAAGCAAGGAAAGCTCAGCTATTTTCTGTTTGGCGCTGGAACAAATAGTGAGGGTCAATCATCATCTGTTTAAAGCCAAACCTGTTTATCATATGAACCAAATATAAAACATCTTTTCAGATCTGTGGCAAAATTAGCTAATAAAGGAATATAAGTATGGTGAAGGTAATCATTAATGGCATAGTATTATCTAGGTAAAAAAGTACCTGATATAATATTTCAAAGAATTTAAATAACAAGGTACCTTTTAGCTTTAACATATTATATGGAGTAATATTGGTTATAAATCATAAAAAAACCCCAATAAATGTGTACCAAGATGGAGCAGGCATTCAACTAGGGATTTGTGTAGCAGAAATATTACAGAAAACTGCTTTATGCTCAATTTAATGTTACATATAGAATCATAGAATAGTTAGGGTTGGAAAGAACCTTAAGGTCATCTAGTTCCTACCCACCTGCCATGGGCACCAATATCTAGTAAAAATTCAAAATTCTTCAACACAAATAGATGCTATTGGTTGCTACATTCAGGTGGACTGGTGTTGGAAGTAACAGAGGCAGAAATGATGTAGGCAGGAACTAGCATTACCAGAATGTCCTTCCCCAGGCAAGGTAATATACAGGCTAAAAAAATCCATTAAATAGCAAAATCCAAAACTCCTGATACATCATGGGCTGTTTGATACACTGTGGTATTAAAGAAGTTAATGGGACAGAATAGAACAACTCAGATGTATCTTCCTAGGCATCGCAATACTGACTTAATCAGCATGGAGTGATTTTAATCAAGGAAACAGTGAAAGGACTCTGAAGGCATTTGTAATGCTACTTTTGGACACATTGCTGTAGAAGTGCTGATCTGTCTCAGCAAAGCCTACTTGCTATGGGGTATGTACCTTGCTGGACTTAGAGGGGCTGCATGTTCAAGAGCCGTTAATTTCAAGCCACAGAATCCAGGACCTTTAACTTTGAAATTATTATTCTATGTATATACAGCCCAGCATTTTTTTTGCCTATATGATCCTGCTTCTAGAGAAGCAACATGAAACAAGGAGAGAAATTATTTCAGTGTCCATGAAAAGGTTAAGCAGAGTATCGGAACATGCCAATAGGTTGTATTTCTCAAGAGCCACAGTCTGTTAAGCTACTGTATGTCTTCAATAGGAGATAGCGTAAAATTTAAATCTTTGCACATTCATGAACAGAGAATAAGGTATTCTCTGGGAGAATAACGTGTACTTCCATTCTTTTCAGCTCCAATTTCACTGAGCAGTTTTTGGTATTAGGCTCCTTCTGTGTCTCTGGTGAACTCTCCCAGTCAATCACTAACCGTCCCAGAAAAACTGGGAGGGAATAGTGCATATTAAATTCTCTGTGAAGGTGACATTTTGTACATAAACAGATCTATCAGACAGGAGACAAGATTGTCCTGAACTTTGTTCTGGTTTCAGGATGTGTGTGATAAGCCAAAGTCAGCATATAATGTTCTAGAACTTACCCCAGGGGAAACTTAAGGTGGACAAGCTTAGACCCTTCTTGAACTGTACTTTGAGCCTCCTGTCTGACAACAGCCTCAGTTTCATGATTCCAGCAGCTGTGCATGTGGCAGGGGTTGATTTTAATCACCTATAAATCCCAGGTTACACCACATAAAGACATTATTGTCACTCTCTCCTACATCCTCTTGGCTAAGCTTGAGTATCTGTCACTCCTCTTTCCCAATATGTGGACTATTTCCTACCAAGAACTGTGAATATGCTCATATTGATTAAAACAGCATTTGTCCTTTGCAGTGAACCTGGTTCTGGAACACAGTCTCTTGCCATCTGCCTTTGCCATTGACTTTACTCATTGCTCAGGATTAGCAAAACTACATGTTATTCGTTAAAACCTTACCTTTAGAGAGCCCAGGAGGAAATCTGCTTTCGGTATCTGTGTGGAATGGTTAAAGAAATGAAAGAGAGAGTTAAATCAAAACCTGTCCATTGTCTTGAGCGTATGCTCTATCAAACATTTATACACTTTGTGTAGTCTGTCCCAGCAGCTGAATTTTACGCAGAACTTTACAACTCTTGAGCTAGAACCAAATTCCACAGAAAAACTTATGCTCCTGACACTACTGTCATCTGCTGAAAACAAATCTAACACCTAGGAAAATATCAGCTGGATTACATGTATATTCCCAGTCAATTTCAACTGCTTTCAGAGTTAGTTTTCCTGTGCCTTGCATAGGACTTGGAGGTAGCAAAGCTTGTAGAAGGGCCCTCCAAGGAAAGACATGTCATTGCTCTTCTGTTTGTACCACTATATTGGAGTAGTTTGGATCGTATAACCTTGACACTGCATGTAAAGCACAACCTGGAAAATTAGAAGTGGGGAATGAGAAGAAAATGCCCCTACATATTCCACCTCTTTGCAAAGATGTGGAGTTGTCATGGTCAGAGTAGGAAGCAAGCAAATTAGACTTACCCTGAGATGCTGAGGTAACAAAGAATAAGGGTCCTTTCAGCGGTGGCTCTTTATATGTAACCTTCTGCCCACGCAGCATTCAAGCACTCTATTTTTGGTCAATAATATTTTACTCTTCAGTGGTAAATGTGTTGAAGCTCTAATCTCTGTGCTAATTCATCAGAGACAGGATTGGTTTAAAGTTGTATGGAGTCAGCTGCACTGACCTGTTCTTTTCACGTTGCTCTGTGCCAGGACAGAAGAACCCAAAGACAGCTCTGATAATGACAAATAAGGCAACACTTGGCTCCTGACTTCCAAGATGATTTATTTTATAATTGTGCACAATTATTTCTTTATGGACTATGATTTTCATATATCCCATCCTATCCTCTCTGCCTATCTGCACATGCTGAGGAAGACTAGTAAGGCAGAATTTTTCTCTCATTAAATGCCTTTATACCACTCTATTGGATTGTGACAAGCCTGAAGAATCTGCAAGCTTGGGTCAGAGAAAGACAACTGCTATCTTATGGACCACAAGAAAAGCTTGCAGTCCTGGCCTGTGGGTTTACAATACTTGAGGCCTGCAGGCATACTCAAGGTCTCAGCCTGCAGGAAGGAGCTTGGTTTTTGTGCCACTGCGTTATTGTGCAGGGGATGTCATGGAGCAGGCTGAATGTCAAACCAGAATAACTTTGGCTTGTTCTGTAACTGTATGTTGAAGGAGAATGTCTGCTTCTTTAAAAGTATCTGGTTAAGGGCCTTTTTTGACACCACAAGGACAGTAGGAAAGAGAAAGCCATGAACAAGTACATAGTGTGACACAAATCTGACTGACAAATAGTAAGGGAGGAGGTGATGGCAACCAAACCTGGTCAGTCACACTACTTGAAGGCATGTTGAGCATGTGAAAATGTGCATTCAGGCAAGGAAACATTGTCAGTTGGGAAATTAAGGTAAAAGGGTGAACCAGAACAATATATACAGACACAGATCTGACAAAACAAACATGGAGACAACAAAAAGAAACAAACCTCACTAGTGGCACTAACTGATAGGTTATCACGAAACTACAGGTGCCACTTCCAGAAGGATCAACCTGAACTTCATGACTGATAAAACCAAGGGAGATCTCAGGGCTGGGGTGGGTGAAGGAGCTGGCAGACCTTTACAAACCCAGAAGAGGATGTGCAGGGGAAGGGCGGGGGACAGGGAGGAGCAAAGAGGAGGTAAACAGGAAAGGGTATAAAAGGGAATGGTTGCATGTAAAACAGGTTCAGTCACAGTGAGCCTGTCTGGCTGAGCTCTGCGCCTGATCACCACAGTCTTTCCTGTCTTCTACCATCTTCTTATTAAATCTTCTCTTAAGTATCTCTTTGCATAATCTCACTCTCTATCCTGGGGCTCAATGGCCTCATCTTTGACCTGGCTGGACTGGCAATGGTGGTAGCTACTGGAAATTAGTTATGAAGGTGGTGGTGAGTAGAAATAAAAGTGTCTTCAAAGTGTAGACGTCTAAGTGGTGTTATGTTGGGTGCATAAGGGCTGATACAAACGCATGAAAATTAGCATTTTCTAAGAACTTTGGGGGATACGATGTAGTTGTGAATTATTGTTGTCAAATACAGGACTGTCTAAAATGGTGTCAGTTGGCTATTTTGACTGTCTAAAATGGTGTCAGTTAGCTATTTTTAGTCACATGAGTTTCATCCCATGTTTTTATTGCTTTGT